CACCAGTTTCTTTATTATCTTTAATTTAAACAAATATACAACTTCGTGGCTTGGCGTCAGAAACCCAATTCACGGTTTTAAACCTGTTATCAAAAAGACAGAATGGCGTATGGACTAGCTTTATAGGTCCACTGAGCCAAAAGAGCACCAAACCAAACCTTCACACACATACACACACGCATACATACATACATAGATACAGAACATACTTTAAGTTTAAATAATAATTTAAATAATGAGTGACAGTGATGATCAACCGCAATTGAATTCGAGCACAATTGCTGCGCTGGAACAATTTCTCAGAGATAAGCAAGAACGAGAAAATCTGCTTAAACATATGTGTGAAAAGGATCAGACATTGGATGTTCTTCTTGATGAAGATTGGGTATGTATCAACAGTAATATGCCTCATATCTAGCAAAAGTTTATTTAGATTTTTTAGGAAACTGCCCTTACGAAAAAGAACTACTGCCGATTACATATAAATAAAGTCAGTAGTATAAATATTACTGACAATCACATAAGAATATTATTAGATATTACAGGAATCACTGAGAATATTACTGGCAATTACACAGAATGCCAGTCATTTTTTCGTACCACTGCCGCAACATATTACTGCTAGTAGTTCTTTTTCGTAAAGGTGTTGTATAATATTAGGAAACTGATATATAATAATTAATGTTTTTGTACAGCAATTGAGTCAATTTTGGTATAATAATGAAACAATAGAGACTTTTGTTAGAGGTGCCTTAAATTCTACAACAGAGGATGGACAAATTGCTCTGATTTCCTGTCCAACACTTTATAAGAAACTGAAACAAGAGTGTGGTAAAAGGCGAAGCAAGTACAATATATGTTTATAATATATGTTTATAATATGTTTTTATATTTTGTATTTATATGCTTAATGTAATGAGAGAGTTTGTTACAAAGGTTTTGTTTACATAGTAGTACTGTTTGAGTACGACAGTCGTTTCAAGATGTATGGGATGGATTTTATACAGTATGATTACAAATTTCCTTTGGATTTACCCAGAGATATGTCTAGTCAGTTTGACTTGGTCATAGCAGATCCACCATTTCTTTCGGATGAATGTTTGACCAAAACAGCAGTAACAATTAAATTTTTAACAAAGAAACATATTGTACTCTGTACAGGTGTCTATAAAATAGATTTCTAAGTTATAAGTTTCTCTTTCCCATTATGTATTAGTTATATTATAACAAAATATAGTAAAATGTTTCAATTTTTTTTAGGTGCTATTATGACAGAGTTGGCTGAAAAGTTATTGAATGTTAAAAAATGTGATTTTATTCCTGGCCATAAGAATAATTTAGCGAATGAATTTTACTGCTACTCAAATTTTGAGTTTGATAAATTTATGAAGTGTGAGAATAATATTTGAGAATATACACATTTATATCTGTGATAAATATAATGTATTAATGCTATTTTAGAATGTGAAAATGCAAATTGAATTTAACTAATAAATTAACACTATTTTATTTTGATTCTTTAATTTATGAGTATTCTTTTACATATTTATGTTGAACATGATCAATTTCTAACAAGATACAACAAAATATATAAATATGTATATAGACTTCAGAGACTTGGGTATTTATATCTGCATTGTTTTTTATTCTGTAAATATTCTTGTATATACGAGCACAGTATATAAAACTGTATATAAAACGATATTACTCTATTACAACTATATACAATGTAAATACAAAATACAAAAATCATTACAGTTAGTGATAACACATTTACCTCAATACAATGCAAGAAATGCGTACAGTTTTATGTTGTAATGCCATTTTATAGTTTTCAGCAATTTCTTTGTATATTTCTTTATAATCTTAGCTAAGAAATCTATCTTTTACATTACAAATTGCAGTTCTATAATAAATAAGATATTGTAAATATATATATTTTGCAGCGTAAAATAAATTACAATACAATGAGTACTTTCCAACTGAATACACAGGTGACATTGGCTGCTTTCCTTTTAGGAGACACAGTCGACACAAGTCGACACAAGAGTCATTCTGTCTTTGTTTCTCACTGAATACTGAACAAAGACAGAATGACTTTTATGTCGACTTGTGTCGACTGTGTCTCCTAAAAGGAAAGCAGCCATTGTGTAATACAGTGTACAGCTTAAGCCTCTTGCACAATGGAAGGAATAGCGATAGCGATAGAAATAACACAGTTTTTAACACAGAATTCCAACTCGTCGGAAATTTTATCGCTATTGCTTATTCCGATTTTCTGATCTGCATTGATACATGTGTAGTTTTGTATGTTAGATTCCGCTGTTCCTACCTTTATTTTTAAATATAAACTCTTTAAAACTTTTTGTTATTTCTATCGCTATCGCTATTCCGTCCATTGTGCAAGAGGCTTTAGTGCTTTCCAACTACAACACAAGGCTGCGTTCCGTAATGTACTGCCAGTACTGTCAGTACTGTAAATAGCGTTCCGAAATAAGATGCAGCGCACTGCGACAGTACTGGTAGGAATCTATGGGTGTGTTTAGCCGAAGTTAGCGCTACGTAGCGCTACGTAGCGGCTTCATGTA